TTGAGGCAAGCCTGAACCTAATTTCCTGTCCTAGGCAAAATTGGGAAAACATTATATATATATATATATATATATATATATATATATATATAATATATATATATATATATATATATAATGTAGTGTCCTCCTACAATAACCCTGCGATTAGTAATACAAGAGTAATATTGATATTCAGATTTCTTAAATTTGTTTACAGAACAAAATTCCTCTTAGAACCCGAAAAAAAACAAAGCACATATGTGGATAGCATAAATAATACAACATGAAATATTTTCATCAGCAGTATTCAAGAAGAAAAGTTAAAATGCAGGCATTAATAAAAATTCCTCTATTCCTTTCCATTCACTTTGGTTTGTTCACTATTGGTTTTTCACTTCACTGATCCAGAAGATTCCAAGCGTCCTGGGTAAGACGTTAAACTACATCCGCATCCTGGGGAAGACGTTAAGCTACGTCCAGCAGCAAGGCCTCTGTCTGAGGAGCGTGGAACCACATCTAAATTCCTGATGTTCCCAGGTCTACTCTGACACGATGGGGTAGCACCTGTTAGGGTCCCAACTATGAGCAAATAATTAACTATTACCAGCAATACTTTTTTTTGTTAAATATTACGAGTAATACAATTTTGAAGGAAATATATTACCAGAAACAGATTTTTGACAAAGCAAAATATTACCGGCAATAAAAATTTGTGTCAGCATTAAATAACCCATTGAAGTTGATATGCCGGAAAACAAAATAAACCAAACCGATCTACAGCAAAGAATACATACTCTATTCATACGAATCTATCCTACAAATGTTGTCGGCATTAAATAACCCATTGAGGTTGATATGCCGTTAAACAAAATAAACCAAACCAAACCAGAACAGTCTAAATAAATTCCACGTTCAAATATATTTGTCTCTTGAATGCTGATCTATAAGAATATGAAGTAGTTAGAGAATAATATTGCACAATCCGAAGACATAGCCTCAAATATTCGAAACTGATATCATAATGTTCGAATAACTCGGAAGACACATTCGAAATGATCTGTGCATGAATGTGCACTTTCAAATGTAAACTACTCAAGTCGCTAAGGACCATGTTTCACGTGTTAGTTTTTTTTTTTCGTGCTCAGAATTAAACGGACGAAAAAAGTTTCCAAGGTGGATGAAAGAGGACGTTTTATTTTCTTCAGGATATAAGAATTCCGCTTCCGATGATATAAAACATATTTTGGTAACATTTTTTTCCGGGTACACCTTATACATACTCCAAATCGACCAGATTATAATGGATAGCGATTCTGAATGAGAAGCCAGTGAATTCCTGTTCGAATTCCAATTGATTACATTACGTAAGGAAAGGTATGAATCCATCTGTTCCCTCCCACCCATGGGTTAAATAGTATGTAAATGCACTATTCAAATCGCAAAAATAGAATTATTTTTCAATCCCAAATATTCCTTGACTTTATATTTAAAGTCAAGGAATATTTGGGATTGAAAAATAATTCTATTGCCCAGAATGTGTTGGTAAGCCTTGAGAAAAAAAAATCAACGCCCAAATCCTGAAAATAAATAGAGGAATTAAAATAAAAAGGTAACATGTAACACTGAACAAATTGTCTCCTCTTTCTTCTTCTTCTTGGTGACATTAGACTCCGTCCTGAAGTATAGGTCATCGGAGTCCTCAAGCTTAATGTGGTTTTTGTAGAAAAAACAATTCATTAATTCTTTCGAAACTACTTTGTATACGTTTCGAGTGATATCGTTGTGCTTTCCTTAAAATAGGGTGAAAAGAGTTTTGCTTACTGTAAAGTCCTTCGTTTCCGAGCGGTAATATATATATATATATATATATATATATATATATATATATATATATATTATGAAATGGAAAAAGTCCGACAATTATTTTAAGACATTTTTATGTTTATACATTCTTTTTATAGATACAAATTTTCAGTAAATGCTCTGTTTTTTTTTTTTTTTTAATAATAAACAGTATTAATAACATTTACCGGGCCCGTCATTTAGCCTGACGTGCCTTAACCGATCGAGCCACGGGGAATCGTTTGATTGGCAAGGTCGAATTTACTGCTTTTAAATTTCAATCTTCCATGAATCTCCCATGTACATTCATATCTGCTCAAAGCGTATCCAAATGTAAACAAATGACGTCACACATCATGAAATGGACAAAGTCCGATAATTATTTTAAGACATTTTTATGTTCATACATTCTTTTATTTTATACATTCTTAAAATAATTGGCTCGATATGTTTCCGTTTAGGATACAGGTTCGATTCCTGTCATAGAACAAATATTTTATATGAAAATTTCTCGGCCATTCAGGCCGGTAAATGTTATTAATACTGTTTATTATAAAAACAGAGCATTTATTTAAATATTTGTATCTATAAAAAGAATGTATAAACATAAAAATGTCTTTATATATATATATATATATATATATATGTGTGTGTATGTGTGTATGTGTGTGTGTGTGAGTGTGTGTGTCTGTGTAAAAACATTCTCAGAACTAATGTGTAGAAAAAGACTATACGAAAACTGTATGTATTTTTAGCCAAAAGCGTTTCATCCAGTGTGTACATTTTCAAGGCAAAAAAAAAAAAATTAAATGAATTTATTTAAACAAAGTATCTATTTAACAAAAAACAAAATGGTTTTAGCTACTAGAAGAATTTAGTAACGCTCATATATATATATTCATTGGGTCAACTGAAAAATTACTTGATTTACTTTTTATGCGTGAAGTGAAATTTCATATGTAGAAATATTGTTTGAATTGTTGTGAAGACGTATTCAGTGGTTTTCTTTTGTTTTCCTGATATATCTGTTGCGTATCATGGCTTGGAAGAGTTGTGATTCTGTTCTGAAATGTGTGATAGGGGTCAAAATTGAACGTAGATTAATATTTGGATAATATTCAATGGCGGCACTCTCGAAGATTTTCCTTCTGAGTGAATTATTTTCTTTTTTTTTTTAATGAAATTGTCGTTGAATTTATTTCTACGTATGGTTGATTATTTACGAGGTCTCTAAAATGCCTGCGGCTCATGCTTAACCTCAAATGTCAGTCTTTGACACTGTGACCCACCAAAGATCTGAATAGAAGAGCATAGGAAGAATTACAATTCTCAAACGGAAGAGATGGAATGGTCACAGTGTAAGAATGGGGGATAACAGGTTTCCCAGACAACTTTCCTCTAAGGAACTAAAGACAGGAAAGTGACCACAAACACAGGAAGCGGCTTAAAGATAATCTGAAGCATACATCGAAAGTATTAGGAAGAATTGACTTTAAATCTTACAGACTGGAAGCGCTTTATTAGGGAGGGATGTATGTATCTGACATGTTCATATCAAGCGTGATCTAACAAGAGACAGTCATTCTGATTTGCCAACTAATATGCAGTCTTGGAGATGTGGGTTATGTCGGCGCATGCCGTTGTCGAGGGCTGGTTATGTAAATCTTGTGAAAGGTCATCATAAAAACCAGAAGCATGACAACTATGACAATATTACTCATCGCCTTGTCGAAAAAAACTGTCTTGTTTACAACAAGCTTTGAAGATCTACACTGGGGAAGCACATGGTGGTACTCAAGTCGCTAAGAACCATGTGCCCAGATAAACTACCGTAAAAAAATTCCCAAGGTGGACGAAAGAAGAGTTTTTTTTTTAATTTTCTTCAGGATATAAAAATTCCGCTTCCAGTGATATAAAACATGTCTTGGTAACATTTTATCCGGGTACACCAAATCGACCAGACTATAATGGATAGCGACTCTGAATGAGAAGCCAGTAAATACGTGTTCGAATTCCAGTTGATTACATTACGTAAGGAAAGGCAGGAATCCATCTGTTCTCTCCCAGATATGGGTTAAATAGTAGGACTTCTATTTGGAAAAATAATTGCTATGCCAAAAAAATATTAATGCAATATTCAATCTCAAAAATATAATTATTTTTCAATCTCAAATATTCCTTTACTTTAAATATCCCAGAAAGTGTTGCTAAGCCTTGAGAAAAAAAGAAAAAAAAAGCCAACACCCAAATCCTGAAAATAAATAGATGAATTAAAAAAAAAAAAGGTAACATGTAATATAGCACTGAACAAATTGTCTCTTCTTTCATCTTGGTGACTTTAGACACTGTCCTGGAGTATGGATCATTGGTGTCCTCACGCTTAGTGTGGTTTTTGTAGAAAAAATAATTCTTTAGAATTAATGAATTAATCCGATCAACACATTGAAGGATACTAAGTTTATTTGTCATATATAACTGATAACTATAAAATCGAACGCTGGTCTCAAGAGTCATTTAGAGGTCTTGGACGGCGAAATTGGATGGAGAGAATCACACATGTTGTTAGGTGTTGGGTCGGCTTTCAAGTGAGTAAGATGTAGTAATGACACCAGGTATGTTTAAAACATTTTTGCAAGTTATTTTACTGTTGAAAGCGAATCAACTAAAATGCGCAAATACTGCACATGCGTGTTATTTATCCCATGACAACGGCGAGATGTAACAAGTGAAGAAACGGCATATTCCACATTGTGCTGCGCCCACTGGTAGCCAAAAGGTGAATCATCAAAAACCTGAAGCCATCACCTACAAATTGGAAAGCCTTTGACAGGAAGTTTTTTCTCTGAATGATCACACTTTAGGACAATCATGACTACATGTGTCAGAAATATAACGCTCCTGACATAGCAAATTGAATTGGGCAAGCTGGTGTGAGGTATTTGGCTCAGTGTAGAAATGGCTTTTCATTTAGCGAATGGAATAACGCTGCTTTCCTTTACGTGTGTGAATGATAAAATATCATGCGAGTGATATATTTGTCAGTTGTGACAGAAATCTTTTGCAGATAAAAAAATGTTTCGATTAATCAAATTTATTGCAGTTCTCCATGTGTTTTTATAAATATTCTTGTCTTTCTGTCTATCAATATTTAGATCTTATTTTTTGTATTAATGCAGTTACTTTCTTTCTGTCTGTCATTCTTTCTTTTTTGAATATTTAGTTCCTTCTTTCCTATTTATTTTCTACTTTCCCTTCCTACGTTTCTTTCTTTCTCTTTTTCTATTTTCTTTCTTTCTTTTTTCTTTCTTCTGCATATTAATTCGTTCTTTTTTTTTTATTTATTCATTTTCCACTTTTTATCATTTACTGTATTTCTGTCTTCTTTTCTTCTTTTTTTCTTTCTTTTATTTGCATATATTCCGTTCCTTTTTATTCATTTACCAAATTCCATTATTCCTTTCCTCTTTTTCAATTTCTTTTTATATTTTCCTTTTCCTTCATTCGCATATATTTCGTTATTTCTTTTTATTCATTTTCCACTTTTCAGGCATTAATTGCCATCTCTTCATTCTGTTCTATGTTTTGTCTCATCCTTTCTTTCATTCGCATATATCCGTTCCTTCTTTTTATCCTTTTTCCACTTTTAATTCCTTCCTTTATATTTTTCATTCTCTTTCTTTCATTCTTTTCTTCTTTTTTTATCCGTATATATTCCTATTTTTTCTTTTTTCATTTTCAAATTCCATTATTCGTTTCCATTTTCTCATTTTCTTTCTTTTTTCTTTCCTTCATCCGCATACATTCTCTTCCTTCTTTCTGGTTCAATTTCATCTTTCCATTTTTTTTCGTTTCTTTCTTTCTCACTTTGTTTCTATTTTTCTGTCTTACTTTTTATTTCTCTCTCTTCCGCATATAATTAGTTCTTTATTATTTATTCATATTTCAATTACCATTCCTTCCTTCATTTTTTCTGTCTTTGTTTCACTATTCCCTCCTTTCTTTCTTTCTTTCTTTCTTTCTTTCTTTTTTTCTTCTATTCGTATATATATCTTTCCTTCTTCCTGATCAATTTTCAACTTTTCTCTGTTTCTTTTTTACTCTCTTTTTTTTTCTATTTATCTATCTTTCCTTTTTCTTTCTTCCGCATGTTAATACGTTTTTTTTCTTATTTATTCATTTTCCCCTTTCAATTCCGTACTTCATTTCTTTCTTTCTATCTTTCTGTTGTCTTTCTTTCTTCCTTTAATTCGCATATATTTCGTTCTTTCATTTTATTCATATTCCACTTACCAGTCCTTCCTTGCCATCTCTTCATTTTCTTCCTTTTTTTCTTATTTTCTTTTATTTATTCGCAAACATTTAATTTCTTCTTTTCATCCATTTTCAAAATTACATTCCTTATTTTTCATATTCTTATTTTATTTCTTTCCTTTGCATATTTCCATTGCTTTGGCCTTATTGCAGACTAATTTAATACGATAACAAGTCTTGTTTGAAATCATTTTTCTTATTGATAAACATATGTTATACATTAAAATATACATTATTTGCTTAATAATTTCACTCTAAGTAAAGCAATAAAAGCCACTAGGATGCAAGTAGTTACTAAGATTAGAAGAAGCAGGGAGGACAAATTAAGAAAAAAAACAGATTTCAAGGTGACAAAATTTTACAGTTAACATTTAGTCCGATGAAGTTCTAAAAGACAAAACGAATCGGATTATATATATATATATATATATATATATATATATATATATATATATGTGTGTGTGTGTGTGTGTGTGTGTGTACAGAGGTCATTAAAGGATAAGAATATAGGTATTTTCTCAGAATAGTCTTAATTGTTTTATTACACTTCAGGCAGAATTCTTTCACTGCCAGTTCAAGAAAGTTATTTGGGTCACTGACACATAAAAAAGAGAATGTCTAATACCGAGAATATTTAACATCGAAAAATATAATAAAAATTTATTCCTTTTAATAATATGTGGAAATATCCACTCTTTGCCAGATGAAAGTCGTGATACTGGAAACACGTGTAGCAAAATTACGGAAGAAATAAGCATAATATATTTTTTTTTAAAAATCCGCATTGCAACCAAAAACGTTTGCGGTTTCTCTCTTTTTATTATACACACTTTTCTCTCGTTGGAACTACTATAACCTCTTTCCAATATATATATATATATATATATATATATATATATATATATATATATCATGAATTGGATTAAGTCCGAAAGTATTTAATATATTTTCTGTTTAGACGTTATTTTTATAGATATAATTTATTTAAGTAAAGGGTTCTTTTTTTAATTACATCGTATTAATTACAATTACTAGCTTTAATATACGAAAGATTTCGCAGAAAATATACATTCTCTGACAGGAACCGAACCTGTATTCCTATATGGAAACCGTCATTCGATCTGACGTGCTGTACTATTTGGATACAGAGAAGCGTTTGGTCTCGTTAGATAAATTTCGTGTGCAGAATCATCGAAATACAAAATACTTTCTACCCATAATTCCTCATTGACAAGTATATATAAATAGTTGAGCCAAAACACAACAAACATGGATTGAATATTGCGTTTAAGCATGAAACAGAATGTGGCCAATTGATGCTGGCCTTAATGTTAACTCTTATATTTACATATGCTCTATTCAGGATATCGAGCACCTTAATCCATGAATATAGCATAGCGTAAAACTATATTTTTATCATAATTATAAGACTATAAATAAAAATAAAAATGGTAAATATATAATTAATATATATTAATAATTAATATATATTTATAGATAATTTATAATTAATATATTATAAGTAATTCTGAATTTTTAATTCCAGATTAGATTCAATTGTTGTCTATAAATTAAGAATAAAATGTTAAGGAACGGAAAAATTTCGTTAGAAACAAAGAAAAGAATACCGAACTGTTAGGTAATATCAATCCTCCTATATAGCAGTGAATGCTGGGATATCACCTCAAAGATGGAGAAGAGATTTGAAGCAACAGAAAAGTAGTTCCACCGAAGGATGCTACGAATACCATGGATCGAACATGTGAGCAACAACGAAGTTCTAGAGACAATGTTAACAAAAAAGAACACTTATTCTTAACACACAACTGAAATTTTTGGCATGCACAATGAGGAAAGAGGGCCTAGGAAATTTGATACCCACATGACAGTTTGAAGGTAAGTGAGTCAGAGAAAAGCAACATAGCCTACCTGGTTAGCTTGAGTAAATGAATGACGAAGCATGCTTTGGGGGAGATAACAAAAAGACAGTCTTTAAGAGATAAAAAAAAACGAAATTGTGGCGAGCCATGATCGGCAACGTTTTGAAGAGACACGGCATATAGAAGGCATCTCGAAATCAGCCTATGATTAGCAGAACGATATTTACATTAAAATGACGTGTTTTACGAGAACTGCCAGAAGAAAGCCACTTTTTAAAAAAATCGGTTCCTCTCCACGAAAACAAGTGGTAGATAAATCTTTGCAGTTTAAATATCACAGATGCGTCTTATCGGGGGTGAGGTATGTTACAGTTTTTTGTGTATATGTTATGTAACTAGTGAGCCAGTCAAAATGACTTAACTCTCTTTATAGTCCACCAATAGAAGGTTAACCAATCAGAAGCCGCAGAATATTGTATCCGTCGTGTATAAAGGCGGCCATTTTTGTTTAATCTACCCGAATGACCAGTGCCAACTTGTCAGGCGAAGATGACAGAAGGAAGTACTACGCTCTGCTTCTTTGCTGCGATATCCACTGCGAACCTGAACTACGTTTTCCTACTGTCTCCGAAATATTCACTGCTAACCTCTGAATTCTATACTCGAAGACGACCGTCAAAATGCCTAACAAGGTATGTGTCTGGCCATTGCCTAAGTGGGGAATTTGTTGAAATGTTTGCAGCACGCTTCCAGCCGTAGCGGACTTTTGGTTGTCGTAGTGAGAGATTTTATTATGTCATCCTTTCGGTTTATCTGGCTTGATTTGCTTAACGGCACATCAAATTTGTAGAAGTCAAGTGACTTACCTGCCAACATGGCTGCCTTCTTCTGTTTCCTTGTAAAGCAAGCCAGCTGATTTTACCTCATTTTATAGGAGAGTGCCTAATACACCAGTTAGGTTGGTCCATTTTGCTAGAATGGACCTGCCCAATACATTTGCATGAGTTGTCTTTATTCACCCATATATTTCTCTATGAAATGACTCAAGTCAATTTTTGGCTTTGGCTACACTTGTCTACTTGTGTGTCAGTCCACTGGCAAGCTAAGCAATATTCTACAAACTTCAAAGGGTTATTTAATATCAACAAGAATTATATTGCTGGTAATTTTTTTTCAAAAAGGTATTGCTGGTAATATTATTTCCAAAAATATATTGATGGTAATAATTATTTTCTTCAAAAATTCATTGCTGGCAAAAAATTTTTACAAATATGTATTGATGGTATTAAAACCTATATTTACACTTTTATAGTGCTTGTTTGGGGGTTAACTATTGGCCCATAGCTGAGACGCTAACATGTGTTACCACTCCGGATCAGGGTGGACCTGGGAACACCAGCATTTAAGAGATGGTTCCACGCTCCTCAAAACCTCCTGATCAGAGACATTGCTGCTGGCCGTAGTTTATCGTCTTACCCATGACACGGATGTAGTTTATCGTCATAACCAGAACCTGAAATGATTAGTCAAAAAAATAAAAATAAATAAATAAATCAGCATTTTTATAAAATATGAAGCTCCATTCTATCAAGAAAAATACATCAAAGCTTTAAAAATATAAATTGGATTCAAAATAGCGGTTTCCTTTTGTGTTTCAAAATCAAGATGTTTTGAGACTTTTGCCTGAGAGACACTTATTAATTTAAAAGAAAACATTAATACACTTCAATATATGAACCTCTCATTTGATTAAATGAAAGGTGGAGTATGGTTTGGAAGAGATAAGAAAACAGACAAACTTTAAGAGCTAAAAAAGAACAGGAAATTATGGCGAGCCATGATCGCCAACGTTTTGAAAGGACACGGCACATAGAAGTTATCTCGAAATCAGCCTAAGAATGGCAGAACGATATTTTCATCAAATGAGGTGTTTTACGAGAACTGACAGAAGAAAGCCACTTTTCAAAAAATCAGTCCCTCTCCACGAAAGCAAGTAGTGGATAACTCTTTGCAGTTCAATTATTAGAGATGGGTCATATCGAAGGTGGAATATGCATCTGGCCATTGCCTAATCGGGGATTGAAAACAGCGGTTTCATTTTGGATTTCGAAACGAACGAGGTGCGTTTAACATGTTTTGAAACTTTTGAATGAGAGACACTTATTAATTACAAAGAAGCACAACTTTAATCCCCTTTACCACTCACTTCAATGCACCTGTTGTAGTCACTTTTTGAAAACGCCATTGAAGTCACCCAATGTGAAGGCGTCCATGACACTTGTCACAGCCTATTTCAGCTTCTCAGTATCTTCAGAAGAAACTACCCCTGAGGTTCTCTTTCAGCTCGGGAAACAACCAAAAGTTACGGTGAGCAGGGTTTGCGCAGTAGGCAGGGTGAGGAGCAGTTTTGAGACCCATTTCCGTTAACACAAATCTTTATTACACATCGAGATTCCAAATTTTTTTCACGTCCCAACTGCATTCTGTAAACTAGTCAGCTGTGACAAGCAGGGTTTAAGAGGGGGTGTTCGAATATCTATTACAGATTTCTCCTTTCGAAATGAAGAACAAGGTTTATTCCATAAGTTGTGAGACTTCGGAACGACATTTATTAATTTCAAAGATACTTACTTTTGATACAAAAGAGTAAGATAAGTGAAATTAGCGAGATAAGAAAGGCAAAAGGCCAATAAACTAATGCGTATTAGCAGGATATAAAATCAGGACAAAATTGGTGAAATCAGACAAAGTGGGAATCCTTTTTTTTAAATTTATATATCCTTCTAGATTTACGGCCACAGCACGTTGAAACAGCGTTCTCGTACGATCACCGAATTTAAGCAACGTTGAGCCTGGTCAGTATCTAGATGGGTGCCCACCTGGGCATACCCTTGGAAGCATTTGGACGTGCAGGTGGTGTAGTGGATAATGACTGGAAATTGTTACTCCGAGAGCCGAGTTCTAATTCCGTCGGTTTCTTTATATTCACTCACGAGCAAATTAACTTCTCTTCTCCACTTCACTATGGGTTAATTAGTAGGACGTTTATCTCTAAACGAGTATTATCTAAAATAATCTAAACATATGACCTGCAATGTGTTGATAATCCGTAGAAAAATGAAACAACCAACATATTATCTTATGACCTGAAGACGCCTATGTGACGTAGGCGAAATGCGTTGTCTGTAAAAAAAATGAACATAAAACGTAAGGAAATTCGATAAAGTAAAGAAAGGATTAAAGAAAAATTGGAGATGTGAAGATGTGAAAACAAAGAAACCGGGAAGAATGTTATTATACTTTAACGTTTTTCATAATCGCCATTGAAATAATATCGATACACATATTTGAACTTGAAAGACGAAATAATGCCGGGGATTTGTTTCAATGCTTAAATGGAGTAAGGAAACAAAAAAGAACAACTTCTATAGATGAAGAAAGGGACGCTAAAGAGAATAAAAATAACAGATGAAATAAAACAGGTTTAACCATTGGCAAATGGAAAGAATTTTGAAAAGATGCGCTTGCTGATAACGTTCTGAGATATCAAAGGAATTGAGTATAAAGACTTCCATTTAGCTACAATTTAAGCAACGATACATGATTCAATGAATATTGCCGACAATATAGTTCTTCCCTGGCAGATCTTGAAAACATTGTTCAAGTAATAATTATCGGAATTTTCGAAAATATTATAAATATTTCTAACTCTGTCAAGGCTTTCCTTTTTATTCTTTCTTTTGTTCTTTCTTTGCTCTTTCTTTCTTTCTTTTTCTTTCTTTCTTTTTCTTTCTTCCTTTTTTTCTATCTGAAATCAAAGAGAAGCTCTGGTATGCCTTTTCCATCTTTCCACACGATCAAAACGGAATAGTCCATTATTTAATCGGTATTTCTTTTTAAGCAAATCGCCCCAACGAAGACGGAAGTTCCACTATTACGCAAGCGGTTAGAGAGAGTGAGAGTAGGAATAAAAAAGGAGTGTTTGGGAAAAGGATAAAGAGAAGGACAGGGATCGAGTTCAAGGCATCAGAAGATGTCGACTGACATTACATTTGAATATTTGAAGATTCTAGCTCTCAAGTGATAGGAAGGGAGTTCCACAGACGGGAAGTGCGAGGTACGAAGCTAGAGATGCTAGTTACATTTAGTCGTTTCGACAGTGAAAGGGTGGGACCGAGATGCCAGCCTAGTAATGCTTAAATTCATGCAATTTGGGAACCAGTAAAAGTAGCTCGTCGGACCAGCTGCAATAGAAAAGGCAGAGGGAAGTCACAGGACTTTTTTTTTAATTTCGTCTTTCATTGTTTCGCTTTCTCACTGAAACCAAGTAGCGTCTCTGATATGTTTTTTCTGTCTTTCCGCGAGATCAAAACGGAATAGTCCATTATTTAATAGGTATTGAAAGGGCGTTTCTTTCTTTCTGCCTTTCTTGGTTTCAATGAGAAAGAGAAACAAAATAATGTCTCTAAAATGCCTTTTCCGTCTTTCCACGAAAGCAAAACGAAACTCTCCATTATTCATGAAAGTTTTGGCAGGGGGTAACGTACGTGCTAAACTAGAAACTAAGGGAGGGGTCAAACAGATTATAGCCAACATGAAGATCTGAACAATCGCTAATCACACGCGAGACTAAATTTGGCTGTATACTGTCTTTTTTCAGAAGTTGATCCCTACTCACAACTCTTTCAAAAGTGATTAAACTATCTCAGATCATTGTTTAAAAATGGATTCAAATGGTTTTGAAGAACACAATACTTCATTAAACTCTACAGACTGGTGCTACAGAATCTCAAAAAGAATCATACTTATTATAAAAACCAGGTTGTGTGTGTGTGTGTGTGTGTGTGTGTGTGTGTGTGTCTGTCTGTCTGTACGTTTATATATTGGATCGGATTTCCTACACTTTTCAACCGATTTCAGCAAGACTTCATAGAACTACGTAAAATTACCTTGCGATGGTTCTGACAGCGCCAAAAATTGGAAAAACACAATTGTTTTGCACGAAATCAATTTGAAAACACGATTAATCGTGATAATGAAAGGGGGACAACTCAAATCGAATTATACTTATTATAAAACCCAGGTTGTTTGTTTGTGTGTGTGTTGGTTTATATATGGGATCGGATTTCCTACATTATTTCAACAAAATTTCATTTTTTTTCTTTAGTGTTTCTTTGTCTTGCACACTTTTTTCTTTATTTTACATTCAGAATGCTTTAAAATTTCATTTATTTACAAGATAATTTTGTTTGAGTTTAACGATTGACCAATTTTTGTAAAAAAAAACAAACAAAAAAAAAAAAAAAAAAAAAAAAACGGGGAGACATGCGTATCCGTCAACCTTAAAGAATAATCTTTGTTAATTTTATTTTTCAGTCTTTATGATGGTCGATACTTGATCTATCTCTTACTCTTACATCCCCGGGCAACGCCGGGCTCTACTGCTAGTAGAATCATATGAACACTCCCGACAGCAACAACAACTAAACTGTAACAGTTATTGGATTTTAGATATCGGTTTTGCCTGAGAAACTATTTTAAGGCTAACTACTCTGTCAGTGATTGCCAAATGTTCCTTGTTGGAAAACAGCTAATTTCATTATATTTGGGCAACAGCCATTTGATTCGTACCTGTCCGGGATGTGGATATGTGAGCGGTGATTATCTCATTGAGCCTTGACTACCGCTTTACCGGTGGTTGTGAAAAATTGCAATACACAGCCACCGGTTGAACGGTGGATAAACACTATTTTTAAGCATTCAACCCCAAGTATAGCGGGAAGCCACTAGCACTCAAGGGATTACAGAGAGTTAGAGCGAAATCAAAGAGGAGTGATAGAGAAAAATATGAAGAGAAGATTAGGGGATAGATCGAGGCATCTGGGAGACGTCGATTGACATTACATTTGAATAGTTGGAGATTATAGCTATCAGAGAAACAGGAAAAGGGGAGGGAGTTCCACAGGCGAGAAGTGAGAGTCACGATGCTCTTGGAGTAGAAGAGACTGCTATATTTAACATTTTCAACAGTGAAAGGGTGAGAGCGAGATACCAGCCTAGTTGAGCGCTTAAATTCACGAAGTCTGGGAACCAGCGAAAGCAGCTCGTCAGAACAGTTACCGTGAAAGAATTTGTAAAAAAGACAGAGGGAGGCAACGGCACGTCTGTGAGAGAGCGACTGCAGACGAGATGCCAGATCAGGGCCAATTACATTGCATATTCGTCTTTGAATTATTTCAAGGACCCAGAGACAAACAGAAGAGGCTCCAGGCCATGTATGGCAGCAATATTCCATGCAAGAACGAATGGTTGATTTGCAGATTTGAAGGATTGACTCCACCGAGAAAAATTTCCTGGCGCGGCACAAGGAGCCAACTTTCCTTGCGTTGGACGAAGCTATTGACTCAATGTATTCGTTCCATCTCCGGTCAGCAGACAATGTGAAACCGAGCAGTCACAAACGTGTTTTGCTATTCTTGTGCAACAAGAGCGGCGGCACCTGCTGGGTAGACTGTCACACAAAGTAAGAATTCTGGCGATAAAGTGAAGGCATCCAATCATACACTCTCCCTGCTAAGTATAATGCTTATATATATTTGTAACTATTTTTATATCTACCGTGAAACATTGCATACCAATTATTTGCGAATTTCGACGCAGGGGCTCAGGCAGGAGTTAAAATTGCTCAGGAGAGCAGAGCCCAAAGGGTTAAAAGAAAGAGAGATTGTAAAAGGAATAAAAGAGAACAAGTGTAGGTGAAAGTAAAGGCAAGGTTAGAGAAAGGGGGTGAAAATATGAGGATAGAAAGTAATGAGAAGAGAGTGAAAGAGGGAAAAGGTAAAAGAAATAGAAAATACGAACAACAACAAAAGTAAAAAAAAGAGTGAAGTGATACAACGGCTGCAAGGGAAAAGGAAGGAAGGAAGGAAGGAAGGAAGGAAAGAAAGAAAGAAAGAAAGAAAGAAAGAAAGAAAGAAAGAAGTGAAGAAAGAAAGAAAGAAAAAGAAAGAAAAAAGAAAAAAAAAAAAAAAAAAAAAGGAAGGAAAGAAAGAAAGAAGGAAAGGTTGGAAGGAAGGAAAGAAAGAAAAGAAAGAAAAAAAAAAATTAAGAAAAGAAAGAAGGAAAGAAAGAAAAAAAAGAAAGAAAATTAGGAAGGAAAGAAAGAAAAATAAAGAAAGGAAAGGAAGAAGGAAAAAAAGGAAGGAAGGGAAGGAAAGAAAGAAAGAAGGAAGAAAGAAAAGAAAGAAAAAAAAGAAGTGAAGAAAGAAAGAAAAAGGGATGGAAGAAAGAAAGAAAGAAAAAAGGAAGAAAGAAAAGAAAGAAAGAAAAAAGAAAGAAAGAAAAAGAAGAAGAAAAGAAAAAGAAAGAAAAAAAGAAAAAAGAAAGAAAGAAAGAACGGAAGGAAAAGAAGGAAAATCTGTTCAAGGTTGGAAGGAAGGAAGGAAAGAAAGAAAGAAAGAAAGAAAGAAAGAAAGAAGGGAAGGAAGAAAAGAAGGAAAGAAAGAAAGGAAAGGAAAGGAAGGAAGGAAGGAAAGAAAATGAAGAAAGAAAGAAAAGAAAAGAAGGAAAGAAAGGAAGGAAGGAAGGAAAGAAAGAAAGAAAAGAAAGAAAGAAAGAAAAAGAAAGAAAGAAAATAAGAAAGAAAAGAAAGAAAAAGGGAGGAAAGAAAAAAAAAAAGAAAGAAAGAAGGGAAGGAAGGAAAGAAGGAAAGAAAGAAAGGAAGGAAGGAAGGAAGGAAGGAAAGAACTGAAGAAAGAAAGAAAGAAAGAAAGAAGGGAAGCAAGGAAGGAAGGAAGGAAAGAAAGAAAAGAAGGGAAGAAAGAAAGAAGTGAAGAAAGAAAGAAAAATGGAAAAAAAAAGAAAAGAAAAGAAAAGAAAGAAAAGGAAGGAAGGAAAGAAAGAAGGAAGGAAGGAAGGTTGGAAGGAAGGAAGGAAGGAAAAGAAAAAAAAAGAAAGAAAGAAAGAAAATAAGGGAAGAAAGAAAAGAAGAAAAAAAAGAAAGGAAGGAAGGAAGGAACTGAAGAAAAGAAAGAAAGAAAGAAAAAAGGAAGCAAGGAAGGAAGGAAGGAAAAAAAAGAAAGAAGGGAAGAAAGAAAAAGTGAAGAAAGAAAGAAAGAAGAAAGAAAGAAAAAAAAGGATGGAAGAAAAAAAAAAAAAAGAAAGAAAGAAAGAAAGAAAGAAATGAGGGAAGAAAGAAAGAAAGAAAGAAAGAAGTGAAGAAAGAAGGGAAGAAAGAAAGAAAGAAAAAAGAAAGAAAGAAAGAACGGAAGGAAGGAAGGAAGGAAGGTTGGAAGGAAGGAAGGAAAAGAAAAAAAGAAAAATCTTTAAAGAAGGAAGGAAGGAAGGAAAGGAAGAAAAGGAGGAAGGAAGGAAGGAATTTCTTTTGAAGAAAGAAAGAAAGAAAGAAAGAAAGAAAGAAAGAAAGAAGGGAAGCAAGGAAGGAAGGAAGAAAGGAAAGAAAGAAAGAAGGGAAGAAAGAAAGAAGTGAAGAAAGAAAGAAGTGAAGAAAGAAAGAAAAAAGGGATGGAAGAAAGAAAGAAAGAAAGAAAGAAAGAAAGAAAGAAAGAAGGGAAGTAAGAAAGAAGTGAAGAAAGAAAGAAAAAAGGGATGGAAGAAAGAAAGAAAAAAGGGATGGAAGAAAGAAAGAAAGAAAGAAAGAAAGAAAGAAAGAAGGGAAGGAAGGAAAGAAGTGAAGAAAGAAAAGGAATGCAAACATGAAAAATAGGACGGAAAAATATGAAAAAGAAAGGAAATACGGATGAGTAGAAAGTTGAAAGAAGGAAGCTAAGAAGGAAGGGAGAAAAAGAGAATGAAAGATTGGGTAGATGAGTGAAGCCAGAAAAAGAGAAGGAAAGGAAGTAAGCGAATGAAAAAGGAATTTAAAATGATGGACGAAGAAGAAAAGTAAGAAAGGAAGGAAGGAATGGAAAGAAAAAGAAATGAAAAATGGCGAAAAATAGAAGAGAAGGGTAAAAAGAAAGGTGATGGAAAGTAAGTAGAAGGAATGACTATAAAGAAAGGCGGAAAATGCAACTACAAAAAATGAGAGAAGAAAGGAAATGACTAACTGAAGAAGAAACAAAAAAGTGAATGAAATAAAAAAACGGAAGTCATAAAAGAAAGTGTAAATGAATTGAGGGTTATGAAGAGAATAAAGAAAATAGGAACGAATACAGAGAATGAAATGATATAGTCAATAGTGTGACACAGGATGGAGAGAAAAGCAAATGAAGAATTAATTTTTTTTTAAAAAATGGAATTGGTAAAAATTTCAAAAGAGGAAGAAAATCAAAATACAGAAAAGGAAACGAGTTGATTATAAAAGCCTGGGTGGGGTGAAGGGACAGTAAATAGAAATATAAAATAGGGGCGAAAATAGAATAGGAAGGAAGGAAGGAAGGAAGGAATGCAAAGAAAGAAGGAAATGCAACTACAAGAAAATGTATAAAAAAGTGAATAAATAATTGGTGAGTTTGAAGAAGAAATTAGGAATGAGATGAATAATTACATGAAGAAATGGAAGAAGAGTATAGAGGAAGTAATGTATGAGAAAGAAAGAAAGAAAGAAAGAAAGAAAGAAAGAAAGAAAGAAAGAAAGACGAAAGAAAAAAAAAGAAAATAAAGAAAAAAAAAAGAAAAAGAAACGGGAAAAAAAGAAAAGATAAGGGTTCAAGAAGGTAAAAATAAAATTAAAAAAAAAAGAAAGAAAGAAAAATAAAGAAAGAAAAGAAAAGAAATGAAAGAAAAGAAAAGAACGAAAGAAAAGAAAAGAAAAGAAAGGAAGGAAAAGAAGAAGGAAAAACACAGAAAAAGAAAAAGAAAGACAGAAAAAAACAAAGAAAGAAAAAAAAGAAAAACAAAGAAAAAACAAAGAAGGGCGAGAGGAAGGATGCTAGAAAAAAAAAGGAAAGAAAACTGAAGAGTATTAAGTAAAATAAAGAAAAAAATATTTGAAAGGTCGGTCGAAAAACTAGAAAGGAAGGAAGGAAGAAAGAAAAATGAAAGAAGGAAGTAAAAGAGAATCAAGAAAGGAGCGAGAGAAAAGTTCAAACAAGTAAAAATGAATTTGAGAACAAAAGCAATGCTGAGTAAAGGAATGGATGATAAATCACAATGAAGAGAATTTTACGAGAGATAATAAAAATTGAACACATCTAAATTGGAACAAGGGTAGCAAATAAGGATAAAAAATTTTTCAAAAAAGAAAGAAAAGAAAGAAAGAAAGAAAAAACTACAACATTCATAAAAATAAACAAATAAACAAACAAGGATAGCAAATCAGGATAAAAATATAAAGAAAGTAAGAAACAAACAAACAACCCTAAGGAAGAATAAAAAATAAAAATAAGAATAAAAAAGAAAGAAAGAAAGAAAAAGAAAAAAGGAGTAAAAATTAAAATTAATTCCAATGCAGAAGTGACCAAACAGAAGCAAACAACCCAACGACAGAAAGAAAGAAAGAAAGAAAGAAAGCAAAAAAGAAAGAAAGAAAGAAAAACGACAGAAAGAACGACAGAAAGAAAGAACGACACAAAGAACAACAGAAAGAAAGAAAGAACGAAAGAAAAAAAGAAAGAAAGAAAGAAAGAAAGAAACAACAACAGAAAGAAAGAAAGAACGATAGAAAGAAAGAACGATGGAAGAAACCCGTAGAAATCAAAATGAAATACAATCTATGAATAATAAATAAAAGAAACAAACAAGCACACAAATGAAAGTTAAAAAGATAAAGACGAAAAAAATTATGAAGGATATGCAAAATAAAAACAAATTAAATATAGAAAATAAAAAAAGATTTTTAAAATTTGATAAGAATTTACAAAAGCTGAGGCGAATAACAATCAACCAAGAGAAGAATTGAAACTAT